AAGTTTTAATTTCAGGTGCTAACTCGACATAACATAACCCTCCTTTGTCCAGGTTTGGGCCTCGCAGTATAATGTGTAAGACAAACATATGCACTTCATTACATTTAAAGGTCAATTAGGGAGCTCGGTAGAGATGACAATGACGTATACACATTTTCTGCCACGCATGGAGATCTTATAGGGCAATCAAAATTGTCCGTCAGGATACTTAAAACTCCATTTGGGAAGCTCAAATAACATATGAAGCTTTTTGAGAGTTGTAACTGATGTAGGCGCACATGGCCGGCCTAATAGCGTGTGGACACGTGGCATCCTTAGATAGGTGACATGCGACATAGGGCAAATTGCATCCTAGCCGTCTACTTATAACTAACTCCAGGTTCGTTAAAGTATGAATAAGTGGCGTCACTCCCTAGGTAAGTTATCTTGGCATTTACTACTTTCAGCTCTCTAGTTTTCTAGTGATCTCGTCTGAGCTATTCTACTTAGGTCTCATCCTACCTTACTTATTGTGCCCTTGCTAACTTGGCTGTCGGAGTCTCTGCCCCTAGGATAACACCTAGGGCCTCTGACGTGCTTCTTCCTTCACAGGTCAGACTTATAGGTCCTCGACTCTAGGAGCCCTCGGATTTATCAGCCAGCCTTCATCTTGGAGGTGATTTGACATTGTTGCCCTCGACCCATTTCAGGCAACAACAGTAACCACAAGAGATCTGTAGTTTGACCCACGAACGGGACCTTGGTGACCTAGCACGACCTCCGGACAATGGGAACCACCTCGTGAGTCACGGTTCACCTCACAACCACGCATAACATGCTCATAGAGGAGAAATGAGCTATCCCAAGCTGTTGCAAAGTCCTGACCAGCCAATGGCCCTGGAAGACAGCCACACTACAGATTGAAAGAGGTAACTCCCGCCAAGACAAGATACCCCCAAATGGCAGTCTTCGAACTCCACCATGTATCTGGAAGGCTACCATCTAGCAATCCATGCAGCAGAATTGTCAGCACGTAAGACAACCTTGACCAAGTGCCTTGATTACCTGCTAGGTGGGCCTGATTGAGCTCCAGGTGTCCTGAACAAGTTCCAGGTGTCTTGACTGAACTCCAAGTGGCTTGCCTGAGCTCCAGGTGTTTTGAAGACCAACAAAATGTCCTCCACCTGTCCGACATGTACACTCCCGTCATGCATCCAAAACCTATATAAAGGTCAAAATTATCATTCAATTCACACTTATGCCTCGTTAAATTCTCACCTACCCTTCTTCAAATAACTCGGCAACTAATTTGACCATCGAAGTTCTAAGCCTAAGATATATATCACCACAGGCCCTCTAACCTCGTCTCTCCCCCGGGAATGCTTTTATGGCCCAAAGCTCAACATGGAGATGTGATTTTAGCTCTTTCTAGTGCTTTGTTCTTTTGCCAAAAAAAAGTGCAAATAGAAATGTTGTCATTTTCATGTTTGCATTTGCACTCATCCCAAACAGAAACCAATGGATTGGTATATGTTCAATCCCACAGTTCATAATTCATGCCAACCCAAAACTCAAACTACTTTTATTTTTTTTATTCTTTATTTTGCTGGTGTAGGGGGAAGGGTAGCCTGTAAACCCATAACCCAAACCCTGGTGATAGATTGTTCAATCTATTTTGCACGTATAGGATGGTGGTACGTAGAGGAATATGGAGAACACCAAGCTTGCCACATACAAGGTTTCTTGTCCATTTAGGGAAGCTTTTTAAGCCAACTGGCCAATCTTGATTACAATCACACGAACACATGGACTCAAAAACCACCAAAAGCCTCAACACAACCAAAGGACATGAGCATACATGGACCCAATCGGATGAAACACAAAGCTAAAATCAGATGATTGCCTATATATCTAACATAGCTATAATTGGGGTCTAATGCCAACAAAACATGTTCTAACACCCTACCAACATGACCTGTGACCGCACATCTCTCCATGAGACTGGGACCCATCATAGAAGTGAGGCCCGCCATGTATGAGATGTATAGTGTGGGATCATGTTAATAGGGTATTAAAACATGCTTTATTGAGATTAGATCCAGACTTTATATAAAAAGTAAATACTTATACTTGCCTTGATTTTGGTGCATGACAAAAAGTTAAATCCAAAATATGTATGTGCCATTATCTAGTTACACACATGCATGTGCCATTACACAAATACATTTATAAATAATATGCAAAATATGTATGTCTACATGAACGTGGATACATACATAACAATGATATTTACTATCAATTTGAACTTTCATACACAATTATTGCTCATTTAGAGGGTGTTTGTCAATATGTATGGTTTTGCTTTTGAAACAACTGCCACAGCAGTAAAATTGTATTATTTTTGCTGATGTGTAACAGATATTTTTACTTTCAAAAACAAAACCCCCTTTAAGTTGATAGTCTTAGGTCTGGCTTTGGCTCTAGAAGTCTTTAAATTTTGCACTTTTTGACCACACATACTAGGCCTAGGCCTGTTTGGTTGACCCGGTGTGGCCAACTCAGCCTGCTATTTGCACTTGCAGCCAAAATGTGGGCCAGGATAGACTGGGCTTTTTCAGATTCCTGATATGCTGTGCTTGGTCCAGCCCATCAAATTGCCACCCCTACTCCAAATTGTCCTCATGTGTGTTTTCCCCAATAACTAGCGGCCGGAGTTCTTGCTTTCTTTCCCAACACTTTGGCAAGCATAACACACCATTAAATAAATATCATGTGATGAGACCGAATCAGCCCCCCATAACGTTCCACAGCACCTTTCTGCCGTGTATTGAGAATATCTTCCAATAATAATATCATCATTTCTGTTATATCTTCGAGAGATGTTTCTAATATACGCGGGGATATGCTGTGAGAAGTTATGGGGGTTGATTTGAACTCCCATGTGAGCCTCTCTTTGCTTCCCTTTATCCATCTTCATGTTTTGATGCATCAAAATTGATTTGAGTGGTCATGGTTTAAATATTGGAAACAATTTCTCTATATATTTATTGCAGGGGTAAGGTTGCGTACATTTATTCCTCTCTAGATCTTGCCGGCCGTGCGCTACGTGGCGCTGGCCCTTTTTATTATGGTGATTGATGGGAAGTTTTTTCAAACAAAAGATAAAAAAAAACCCGATTGATGAATAAATGGTACTTTTGTCTTTTTAAAAAGCTAGACTAGTAATTAGAGTTTTTTTTTTTATATTTTATTTTTTTGGTGTGTGTGGATAGCAGCTAGGCTGCTTACTATTGTAACTCCCATGGTATAGGAAGGGTCATCACTTGGGATTTCAACAGACAGATTCTGGGAAAATGATTCGGAGGAGGAGATAACACACATGGGGTTTGTGGATTCTCTATGTCACCACCCAGTACCCACCCACCTGCGTTTGCTCTTTGCTTTCTTTGTCCATGGATTCTCCATGTTTTGCCCGTCACTTGTCACTCATCACTATACATGATGGAGGTTACTGCACCAGTCCTGTGAGTGAGAGTGAGAGAGAGAGAGAGCAGCTGAGAGTGGCAATGGTCAAATGAGGTAATTTGGATGGATACACATCCACAACCTGACCCGACCCATTTCATGCTCCATTTCTTCATCCCTTCCAAATTCTGTTAGTTGTGTAAGCCATGAGAATCCTATCACCTTCTATTCCAAATAAACAATGGTTTAACTTAACCAGTTCATTAGGAAAAAAAAAAAACTGGGAGCTCACTGCACATTGGAAGGGAAGTTGGATAGTGGTGGACAAATTTGCAGAGTTGCAATAATCCATTGAGAATCTCCTCAGGACCCTCCGTTGTTTATCTTTTTCTTTTGAATCTTTTTTATTGGGTAGAGCAGGAAGAAGTTAGAACAAAAACAGGGGGTAAATACCCAGCTTCTGGTTGCTGGTTTTATTTGCCACTCTGTAAATATGCTTTGCTTTGATGAACAGCTTTGTCAAGGTTGCTTTAAAGCTGTGTAAGTTAAGCTACAGCTCCGAGGAACCTACACAAAGTAACCCCTTCCCATCAAGCTTCCCATCATTCTTATACAAGTATCAGTAATAGAAACAGGCTTGAGGCTACCCATCAAGCTGCTCATTAATACAGGTGACATGGATAGATATCAAGTCTACTGTCTTGGGATTATGTTCTTTTTTCTTCTCTAGATCAATCTGGGGATGGTTTTGGTCCAAGCTGTTTTACTCTATTAATGAGTAAACTTCTTGTATTGCAATGGGCATGGTCCTGTTTGTCAGGCTGTGACTGAATTTCTTAAAGCCATAATTAAAGCCCCAAAACATCTTTTATCATTAGGTAAGATATTTTCTAAAAGCCACAGTCCAGTAGAAAGATAAACTCAAAAGAGACCAAAAAGATAAGAAGCTTCTTACCAAACAGGCCTTCCAAGCTTTATCTTAATCTTTGGAGCTGTGGAAGACCTTTTCAGAAAACCCAACAAATGCCAGTGGCCACTACCGTTTGATTTTGTCTTTAATTAGAAGAAAAGCTTTCATCACTATCCTAATTTCCTTAATTTAATATCCCTTGAGTTGGGTGTGGTTGACACATGAACACTACTTCCAGTCTATCTGCTTATATTTTATATACCAAAAGTGAAAAAAAAATAATAAAGGAAATGCAATAAAAAGAACCCTTTTTGACTTCATGGATATGGATGAACACAGAAGCTAAGTGTCAGCAAAATCTCAAAAGTCCCATTGTTTTCTCTCCTTTGTGTCTTCATAGACCATGGTTATTACTTATTAAGAGTAATATGAATGTGTTGAATGTCCAAATCAAAACCTTTATATCTGTAATGCTTTGGAATTGATTGATGTTAAATTCAGCGATCATTATTATTTGAAGTTAAGCTCCAAAGAGGGAGTTGTTTGGCACCACCCATCATATTTCTTGAGCCTTTAAGCATATATAATGAAAGCAATATTGTGAACAGAAGCAGTATTCCTCTGCTATATTGGACTAATTGGAGCATGCAAGAGACCAAGGAAGCACAACTTCATTAAGAAAATTAGAGTAGAATACAGAGATCACAGAGACACATATCTATATAATAAACTAACTAAGAATTACTTTAACACATGATAGTCATCACTACAATAGAGGTTTCCAGTGATTGGCTGGAATTAAGCTGCAAGGTTTATTATAAAGGTATTACAGCATGTAGTATTCAGGTTAGAGTCTGATATGACTTGATCAATGGAACCAGAGAGCCACTGAGGTGGAGGGACATAACTTCATTGGTGGATCCTACCAGCTTACCACCAATGAACACAGCTGGTACAGGTGCATTACAGCCCATCCTGGAGAGTGCCCTCTCCATTTCCTTTTCTTCAGGGTCCTGATCCAGCTCATGAACCATGGGGTTCACCCCAAGTTCATGAAACAGGATCTTGACAGCATAGCACATGCAACATGAGCTCCTACTGAAGATCACCACTCCTTTCTCTGAAGCCACTCTCATCACCTTCTCCATTTCCAAGACACCAAATGAAGCAACAATGCTTGGACTGTCGAGGCGGCCACGCGTGCGACTCAAATCAAACTGCTAATGGGACCAAACTAGACCAAAACCTAGATAGCTCTATGCCTTTCTCCACTTAGCAAGTGCTGCTCATCTTAAAGTTGAGGTATCAGTGATGAACTTGACAACCAACTTATATTCTTGGGTGGAAAGAGAAGAGAGTAGAAGACTCAGTCTGAACTGAAGCACTTGGGCAAAGATGGGCTTGACAAGTTAAATGAGTGAGTCATGACAACTATTTATAGTGATCAAAGGAGGGTGGACTGCCTCTATTTCTTTAAGCAAGTCAATTCAAAGGGGAATTTGGCAAGTTGAGAGCCCATAATACCCCTGATATTTTTCAACTCCAGCAGACTTGTTGGATATCAATTTCACCATGCTCTTAAAGCCACAAGTTGCAGCTCTGCTTTTCTGGCTCTTCTTTCAGAACCAAGTATTCTCTATGGTCCTCATATGTGTTGACGTGGAGACAAAACTATGTACCATTCTTCTTGGTTTCCTTCTCTTCCTGCAACACCAATCATCTTGATGCTTCAAATCCCCATGTAGAATGCTTCTGCTTGGCTATCATAGCCGTCCATTTTCTCCATCTTGGTGGTGGGACTAGGAGATGGCTGTGATTTCAGATTTCTGAGGGAGAGTACAGTTTACTTATCCCAAAAAAAAAAAAAAGGTACATGTGGCAAGCTTAAACCTGCTCCCCACAAGATGCTAGAGCCACACATCGAGGACATCTCTTGTACTTGTATGTTGTCATTCATGAAGAGATGTCCCTGATGTGCAGGTCTTGTGAATAGGGTGTGGGTAGCGTCTTATAGGTAGCAGATCCAAACTTACACGTGGCACGTTACATCATTTAGTTGTGCCCTTTTTGCTTTTGTGAATGTGGGCTGGGATTGAGGAATACCCTCTCTCCACAAAGAAGCCCACATGCATACAAGTAGAAAATTCTGAGTGTGGTGAGTTTATTCCATATCCCCTCTCTCTCTCTCTTGGTAGGTTCTCTATCAAGAAAGATTGCAATCTGCAAAGGAGATTGCTTTCCGGGGAATTCGATTCCCTGTGCCCCGCTGTCACTTTCCTTCTTCAAATTAACGACCATTTATATGGTTCTCTGCTTCTCTGCTCATATACAAAGTGATGATGTAAGAATTGTTGGTGGCCATTACTCTAGATTTGTTATAAACAATGAAGGGGTATACAATGGGTTATGCAATCCAATCATAAGTAAACATATCAGCAATCCGTACAACTATCAGATGCAGAAGCAAAGTATAAGGTCTGAGTGAGTGAACATACTTGGGAGAGGAGATCCAGATTCCAGACTGTCTAGGCCCATGGTCCAAGCTAAGGTTGGCCCTCTAGTTGAACTGGGCCATGTTGAGACCACAATGTGCAGAAGTCTCAGACGACTTGTGGACCATAAAATTTTGGGTTGATCAATACAAAATTACAAATTGGTAAGAAATATGCATTAGACATCACATGAGGGCCACTTCAACTAGAATGATTATATTAAATATCACCCATTTGGAGCGAGAAACATCAATTTGACATTTCAACAAACAGCTTCCCACACATGCATTTTTAAGGTGTTCGTTTCGATTATAAACAACATAAAATAACAGTTAGATACCAGTTTGTATTGATCAACTTAAAACGTTTCTTGTAGAAACAGCAATGGTACCAACTACCAAGTACAACCAAAGACCCAAGCAATGCATTGAACTTAACAAACAGCGCTGTAAGCATTGTAGATGAATCACTATATGCATAATGGTTGAAAATGAATGAATAGCGTTATTAGTGCCCATTTGGGAGGGCTTTCGGGATGTGGCTTCTGGCATTCTGATCTGGGACCCACACAGAAACCTCTGAAGCTGTGTGCAGGGGCGGAGTTAGGGGGGACCCAAGGGAGCCATGGCCCCTCCTATGGTCCAGAAATCTGTATTTTGAATACATTTTTTGTATGTAAGTTTCCTCCCTCTCCTCACTTCTCACCCAATGGTTGGCTCCCCTATGGCCCATCCATAAGTTTTGCCACCCCCCACCCTCATAAAGAATTCTTGGCTCTGTGGTGAAAATCTGAAAAGCCAACATGAGCGCTCTAAACACCATAATCATGACTGTAACATGAAGCTACACATTATCCAGAACGCGGGTGATCAACCAAAACGGCTCAATTAACGCAACTCAGGCGTTAATCCGCACCACACACACGCACACACACCATGACAATTTGGTTCAACAAGCAATTGATGAATTGGTTATATAACATATGGCTAGCTAATGTAGTTATAGTCAATATCTTCAGACTTCAGGCCAGCTTAATATGTATAGGATCAGTGGTCGGAAGGTAAAGCAGTCAGACTCCATGGAGAGCTTCATTTCTAAGCAGTTTAATGTTGTACAGTGGCACTTCAATCCACTACTATATAAATGCTTTCTAAGTGGAGGCATAAGTGTTGCAAGGAATTTCTGTACAGGAGTCGAACCAGGAGGATGTGGCCGTTTTTATTGGAGGAATTTGATTTAATTATGTACATATTGTCTCTGATTCGTAGCCATCCAGAAGAAGAATCCCACAAGGATAAAAGAATAAAGAAGACTAGACAACACTCATTTTTTGTTATTTATTCCTTATTAAATTGAACTATAAACTAAAGGGGGAGAGAAGTTTAAACTTTAAAGCATTGGGTATTTATTATAACAGCCTATTCTCATGAATACCAATATTAATGTTGTTATTCTCTCATTAATTAGTACATTAGCTAAGACAGCCGCAAACACACAAAGAGAAAGAAAACAAAAAAGAAATAGAGAATTACTAGGAGAATTTGTGAAATGATCAGACAAGATTATTTTTGACATGGTATCAGAGCTGAGTTTGATAATTTATGATCATCACTTAATTAAAGCCAGATGGCACCGGCCGCTTTCAGCATTGGTACAAGCGATCCATCAAGGTGCAAAGACATGACCTTTTGTGTCGAGCCTACGAATTTACCGCCAATGAACACGGTCGGCACCGCAGGGTTACACCCAAGTCTCAAGAGTGCTAATTCCATGTCTCTTCCTCTATAGTCTTGATCGAGCTCGTGGATTGCTGGGCTGACCCCCAGTTCATAGAAGAGTCTCTTAGTAGCATGAGACATGCAACAAGAGCTCTTGCTAAAGATCACTGCAGCATTCTGTGATGCCAACTTTGTTATCATATCCATTCCGCAGATCAAAGAAAGAGAGAAGCTAAACTGAATTTGAGAAGCTGGTTTATTGAAACCCAAAGAAGAACTAGCTAGAATGAAGGCTCAGAAATTCTGAAATTTGGGTGAGAATGAATGTGAGTGAAGAAGAGAATGAAATTTTCTGTGATGGGCTTAGCTCTGGAGCTCCCTTATTTATACAGGCCGGTGAGGGTGGTAGATAACATTGTTTAATACAGAAAAAAAAATTATACACATTAAAAAGAGAAAGGTTTCTTTAGATCTTTTGAGGATGCCCCAAAGGCTCCTTATCATTTGCTAGACAGGGACCTTGGTGCATTACTATAGATGGAATTACAAGTTGGAGAATCAGATGGGGAAATCTGGCCCTACATGAAAGGAATAAACTGCTTAGGAAGGTACAAGTACAACTTCACATTTTGGTGTGACAAAAATACCCTTCCAAAAAGAAGGATTGTACAAATTAACCCGTATGAAACTATTAATACCAATGTTCAGAGAACCGGACTGGTCATCAACCTAGAAAAGGGAGGGGTTTATGGGTTAGAGATTCAACTCGGATTGACCAGCTGGTCTGGTCCATTTTTTTAAACACCGATTTATAAGGATATTATACAAACTAACATGTATGCTGAGTTACCCTACCGTGTATATTAGTCATTGATTGAAAGTTTTAAAATTTACAGCCATTTTTTATATGTCTCATTTAATAATCCAACTATATAGGGTTATCGGTTACATGAATGCTATTCTACCATTCAGTTTTGTTTAATGTCATATTCATTGTTGAATTGCAAGCATTTAAATTATCGATCCATGTCCTTTTTGATCTACCCCTAGACCTTCTAGCCCCTTCAGCTTGTTACTGATCACATTTTCTTATGGATGCTATAGGTGGTCTTCTATTCGTGTGATCGAACCATCTCTGCCTATTTTCTCTCATTTTATGACATGTTGGAGCTACTCCTAAGTTCATACAAATGACATTGTTTCTAATCCTATTCTTTTTAGTTTTTTCACTCATCCATCTCAGGATATACATTTTTGCCACACTTGTTGGATTTTGAGAGGGGGGAAAGTTGGTTAATGGGATTTTAGTTCCCATTGACCAAGAATCCCATGTTTATTTTTCAGATTTATGTGGGGATCAGGGAAAGTTTATTTTCTTAGGTACCACTTACCTGGGTAAGTAATACCCATCTCCTAGGTGGGTAAATAGCTTTCCCACCTAAGGGGAAAGTTGCTAACACTTGAATGAGATAAAAATGTCCCTTTAAATAATAGATTTTTTTTGACTAAAATGGTCATTACCTTATTTACCTAGGAAATAAAAAAATATGAGTAAATGCACTTACCCAGGTAAATAACTCACCGAAAAGTAAACGGGGCCTAAGAATTCTCATTTATCACTGTTCTTTTGTTTAATACAATGATATATAATATTAGTGATATGACCAAATTTTCTGCATATTTTCTAATGTTTTAATCTTGTCTTGGACCTGGATGTATTTCTTTGTTTTTCTTTAGGTGGGTTTTGAGAGGGTGATATTGAATGCTTTTTTGTACTGGAGTTGGAGCAAGGCAGATTATGTCCTCCCTTGTTAATTTTAATTTTCTAATTGATAATTAATGGTCAGTGGAATCTAAATGTGGCCACTCTTCCACCTAGAGTAAAGTTTGGGATTAAAAAAATGTTGAACAGATTTTCCCTCTAAGTCAATGCATCAACTTGTGATGTCATTAATAAAACATTTTCAAAAAAAAAAATAGTAACCTGTTGAGTTAATCAGAGGGATCATTGTTCAACTATTTGAGTTGGTGGGTTGTTGATCGAATCAATGGTTTTTTTTTTGTAGTATAACGGGTTGAAAGTTGACCCGAACTAGTAAGGCGATTGGGTCATCTATTTGATAGCCTATGTCAACAATAGTTTGCAAACAATGCCTTTCATGACCCTAGATATTGTCTTTTGGATCAGATAAAATTCACCAAAGCTTTATTGATAAAATTAAAGCTGTAAATGGATTGGATTGGACCAGATATACATATATCTAGATCAAAATTTATTAATCATATTCAAATTCAGATATAATCTTATCCATCAGATTAAATTGGATTTTGGACATTTAATAAATAAATTAAAAATGAATTTGATATTATATATCATGAAAAGAATATAAAACCATCTCCAGAGGTAAACAAAATTTCAATTCTCCCACTATTTATCATCATCAATCTATGATCAAGAGTTGTTTTCAGAAACATTATCATCTAAAGCCAAAACACTTTTAAGCCCAAAACTAATAAATTAAAATCGAGTGCCCCATTTGCCAGGGCTTTCCCACAACAGCTTAGGCCCTGCACAAAAAGCCAGGAAATTGTATTTGGTGAAAACCCAGCTTTTCAATGCAGAAGCCCTCCCAAAAGGGTTACGAGGCTTTGTGCTTTTGGGTTTTAAAAACACAAAACCTGATGCTAATGTAAATGCACTAAAAACACAAAACAATAAGTCATTTCAGTTCAGTCACTTCAGCTCTTATCAAACGGTCCCTTGTCTCCAAAAAGAATTTTGAGAAGATATTTACATATAATCCTGATTAGTTGATTTTGTCCTTTTTCTTTTTCTTATTTGATTGCATCTGCCGATGAGGAGAAAGAGCATAGAATTTATCTAACACAACACAGATTCACTTTGCTTTATCTTTGCATATTTGAAGAGATGTTGTCATCGAATTCATATGATCAAAACAGCAAACAAAAAAAAAAAGAAAAAAAAACATTTCCCGTAAAGAATGTCAAATTACAAAAAATAAAAAAAGAATAAAATCAACGAACGATATCTAGTCCAAGTCATGCATCCAACAAGAAAAAAAATCATTAGTTGTTTGGTTTCAACCAATTCTATAGAATCGCAGAGAAATTCAATGAGTTTCAAACTTTTGAGAAACAAGGGGTTTGGTTGTCCCTATATAGAATTAATGCAAAGGCTACTAACCGAATCTTAGGAATGAATTCAGCTCTATATTTGTCCTTCATTCATTCTAAGTGTCAGAATTCTAAGAATCATTTTATACAACGACAGCACCATTTGTTTTCCATCACCAAGTGCTCAAAAGAAATAAATTAGATTTTTATAGATTTTTCCATCTCATAATCTTTTTTTTAGATTTATAATGCTAAAATAGTATTGAGTGAAAGAATCTATTACAATACCAGGGAGTATGTAATATAAGTAACGTTTGAGACAATACATTCATAAAACCAATAAAAATTTTTGAGGGAGTACAAACCATTAATTTCCCTAGCCTAGTTGAGAAACCACTTTGTCCAACTCAGGAAACCACACTATCAGGCAGGCTGAACCTGTGGGCCTTGGCAAACCAGTTGAGCCAGATATGCAATCCCACACTTGAGTTCCTTTGGTTTTTGCCATGTACAGTTGTTAGAGTTCATTTTGGAAGAATGACGGTTCAGCCCACGGTCAGAATTTTTATGTCCAAAGTACAGTTGGGTTGGGTATCAGTTCAGAATTGATGCCAATTTACGAGCAGGTATTGGTGTATAGAATGAAGATTTTTGACATTTTGAATATTTATAACTCTGGAGTGGAAATTAAAAATCTGCATTAGGCCTGTCCATACTTCTTTGGTTCATTTTTGCTATAGGTCTAAATCTGAGAATCGTGACTATAAGTCACTTCATTGTTTTAGCCTTGGGCTACATGTTATCGTAGCAAAAGTGGTTTGTAGTTTTTTTGACAATCCATCCATCCACTATCATGGTTTAAAGTATCGATATGCCTATTAGATGTTTCAATACCATAATATTGTTTTTTTATTCAAAATAGAGGTCTATCATTGACTTGCCAATACGATACGATATGCCCAATACACGATGTACTTCCTATAACTGTTTGATACTTCTAATGGCTTACTTTCTGAAGTTTCATGAATGGAGAGGGGTTCGGAAAGGGGGATTGCATATTTTAGTGTCGATAGATAATCGTTGCACACTCGAATCGCGGCATCATAGATAAGGTGGGTCATCGATGTACCTTTTTAAGTTGGTGATGCTGGAGATAGCCTATAAGGTCGGTGCAAAGTGATTGTTTATTCCACCTCTCACTCCCTAGCCTCATAGAACCCTCCAATTGTTAATGAACAAGTGATTGTTTATTCTTCCTTTAAGGGTTTTGAGACCGGACTCGTGCATGGCTGAGGGCCAATGAATGGGGCCCAGCCAAGTATATGGAGTGCCTTTGGCTTAGTGAGGTAGCATTATTCATTTAGTGTGTTTGTTTGTTGCATTTTGCGTTAAGTGTTGGGCTGATGTCAGCTCTTTAATTTATACAAAGACTCGCTCTTTTGAGGGTCTTTGAGGTTGAGGTTGATGTCAAAGGCCGCTCATTAACAATGGTCGAGGTCCCATAAGCTCATGCCTAAGCTAAAAAAGGCAAATAGTAGGGTTGTTCATAAGAAGGCCCAACCCGACCAAATCGGACCGACCCAACCCGAGTCAGCCAGGTTTTCATTAGCACGGGTCGATTTCGGGTTGTGCAAATTCCTAAACTGATGATTCGGGTCGGTTTCGATTTTCACACAAGAAAACCGAAATCGACCCGAACCGAATCGACTTAGTCAAACATGAAGTTCCAAAGCCCATTAGGCCACCTAGTTTTTGAATGGTTGCAAGAAACTTTGGATTAGTGAATAGTGATTAATGAACAACTTTTGTGATTAACTTTTCATTTAAATTTTATCATAGGAGATGGTTGAAATGATGTTCAATTTATGACTGTTTTTAAAATTAGCAAGATTTTATCACAAGGATGAACTTAGAACCGAAACCGACCCAACCCGACTCAAATCGACCAGGTCGGTTTTGCTTAACACTGGGTCGGTTTCGGTTTCTATGTCAGGTAACCCGACCAAGTTGGGTCGGTTAGAAAAATCGTAGTAAACCGACCCAACCCGACCCGTGAACAACCCTAGCGAATAGGCGTATGATCTTCCGAAGGTCGTGTCCTTGGGCTGACGTCTAGTTCGAACATATAACCTTGGTGAAGGTTGTGTGCTGTGGCCGATCGTTCGATTGAGGGGTCCTGGCGAGTGAAGGAGGCGAGAACGTATACACCAAAGATTCAAGTCGAGGTGAGAGAAAC